TAGAACCATTTAAATGTAATGCAACGAATCGTTGCAGGAAAGGGTTTTAACTAAAATGTTAATGTATTATGCGATACATTTTGCAGATGGCAGTGTATTACAAGTGCACTTAACTAGTCCTGATGATAGTGTACCATACCAAAGACGAATAACTATTGAACCCACAACCATTGCAACATTTGAAATAATAAATGCTTCCAAGGAAGCAGCATTTATCATTTTGCATATTCATACCTGTATATATATAATGTCACATTATCTTATAGTAAAGATTATGTCAATAAAGTTTCAAATCAAAACGTGTACGGTTCAAACATCGGCCTTTTGACGAAACTAACCACAAACGTGATACAATTGTACGTAAAAAAAAATGATAATGTCAATCGTGTCGAGGCTCTGTTGGGATGCCATTGCTTATGGTAATGTAGGTGAGTAGTTTTGATATATGATACTCTATGTAAACCACGCGACTCGTACTATTATATTGTTTCATTAGCCGTACATCTCTGGAAATATTAGTAATTCTATTTCAATCTTAACCAATTAGAAAGTATGCAAAGTCTGATTCAAATTCGATCGCGTTCCAAGTTGCTAAATACGATATACAAGGTGTTCCAATTATTATCACTACACGAACAAGATTATAAAATTTCAATAAAAATTTATTCAAAAGCAATTTCACATACCGAGAAAAAACTTCAAAATGAAAATACATATAGAATTTCTTTGCTAATAAAGATTTTTTCCAAAACAGAAACAGTAGTTTTGTCTGTTTTACATAACATTTCTTTTTTCTCCGCACTATCCTTTATGAACAATTTTGTTTTGCGAAATTCAATCCAATCATTTTTGTATCCCTGTGCATTCGAATTTTTTTTTAATTCACCCTTTTATAATATTCTTCACCTGCATATAACCCTTGATACGATTAGAGTAACCATAATTCTCGTTCTGTGTATGCGTAACACCCGGTATCTTACGAAGAGAGATTAAAAACGCGACTTCCAACGATTCTACACTTCTTAGTTTCTTTACTCGTTCAAACAGTCCTCGCAGAAAACAGAAAAAAACGTATTTGATAAAAAATGATTCTCCTACCTCGAAAACTCTTCCGTAAGGGTTGTCGTCAACAATTCCGAAGTCCACGTGCCACTTTTTACCTTGCACTATTAAACGTCGTACGGAGAAAAAAAAACAGGATTGTACAGAGCCATATTGAATGCAATCGATATTCAATTCTATTTTTTTTTTTTTTTTTTTTT